GGAAGGAAGGGAGCAAGGAGGGTAAACCTCAGTCCCGCGCTGATAGCAGGAGATGACGAGAGAGCGAGGAGTTGCTCAGACTTGGATGTCGGCATCGCACGAGGATGAGCAGTGAACGCCGATGGGCGGTAGAGCGGGAGCATGGCGCAGGAGCGAGAGAGCGAGGAGACATCCATGCTGGAAGCGAGAGGAGAAGATGGTGAGACACAGTTCTTGAAGGAAGACATGGGCAGGGAGTAGTGTAGAAGCAGCTACTGCTCCTGAGCACGAGAGGACGAGCAGGACGAGCAGGAGGAGCAGGAGCAGGAGCAGGAGCAGGAGCAGGAGCAGGAGCAGGAGCAGGAGCAGGAGGAGCCGGAAAGGGGGATGAGAAGGGGTGGAAGGGACGGGAGGCAAGGAGGGCGCTTCTTTACTCAAAGTTAAGTTAAAAATTAGTACGAGGAGCTTCTAGTAGGGCAGCAGCAGCGAATGGACGAGGCTTACTGCCTCAATTAGGGCAGAACCCGGAGGGCGAACATGGTGGAGGGGGAGCAGGGGCGGAGGAGGAAGGCTGTGGTGGTAGAGATGCCAGGAAGAGTGCGAGAGGAGGGGAGGGCCTTGGAGGCTCTCGGAGGCACCTCCTCCCTCTCCTCCGTCTTCTCTCGTCCCCGCGCTCTGCTCCCCCTCCTCCTCAGGAGCCGGGACTCCCATGCACATCCTATCTTCGGGGACCCCGAGCAGCGAACGCTCCTCCTCCTGAGGGTCCGCAGGCCCAACGGAGATGGGCAGTGCGAGGCTCAAGTTCTCGGGCATGCTGAGCGCATCTACAACTTCCGCGGCATGGCGGACTTCCAGTTCGTCGACCCTGCGACTGCCGCTAAGGCTCGGGGAGGAGGAGGTCCGGCTCCGACGGACGTCTACTCCCTGCTGGAGGGGCAGACGGGAGGAGAGACGTTGCAACTTGTTCCTCCTATTTTCAGCAAGGTTGATCAGCCGCAGGCGTACGGGTTCCGTCAGAACATGGCGTTCAAGCACCGCGACCCAGAGGACCAGGCTCCCGCGGAGGGGTCGCGGCCAGGGAGGAGGAGGAAGCCAAGCAAGGACGTGCAGACACTGAAGAAGCAGAGCATCCAGTGGAGGCACCCGCCGCCCTCAGCACCTCATGCTCAGGCAGTGGAGGTCACTATGGGATGGGAAGGGCGCGAGGCCTCGATGGGGGTGCTGAGGAGGCTGTTTGAGCAGCGACCCATATGGTCGAGGCTCGCGCTGCAGGGGACCATCCTGGAGGAGGCAGAGAAGCATCTTCGCTTCCTCCCCCTTGTCGCCTTCAACTACAAGGACGGGCCCTGGCGAAGCCTCTGGGTCAGGTATGGCTTCGACCCTCGATCGGACAAGTCAACTCGTTTCCTACAGGTGCACTATCCGTCCTCCTCTTCTCCTGCTCTGTGCCTTTCTTGCACCGTTCTTTCTATATCCTGACTCCATTTCATTAACTCCTTAACTCCTTATGCTGCCCTTCCCTTGGCCTCCTCTCCTCCTCTCCTCCTCTCCTCCTCTACATTCCTGAATTTGATTTCATGACTATACTGCTAGTCCTACGACTTCCGCGTTCCCTCAAAGTTTTTGTCTCTTTTCAAGCCAACCGAGATTCGAGTAAGTTCCGCCCCCGTACCACCACAGGACCCTCTTCTCCCTGCTCCTCCTCCCCAACACCCCATGCCCTCCTCCTACCCTCCATCATCTTCTCGCTTTCATTCATCGTCTTCCTCCTCCTTCACTCACACCTCCTTCATTTCTACCTCTGCGATCTGCCGATTGACTGTGTCTCTTGCAGCAGCAGGGGGGTAAGGCGGGGGGGCCGCAGCCGTTCAGGTTTGTGATGGAGCGCCGGAGGAAGGAGGGGTGACGTGGGTGCAGGTTGAAGGGCATGAAGGGAGATTCAGGTAGAGCTCGCATCCTCATCTTGCCTCTCATCTCTTCCTCCTTGTCCCCTCCCTCCCCGTCTCATGATCGTCGCCTCCTCTCTCCATCCCTTTGATCCATCTTCGTGAAGCTGCAGAAACTTCCTCCTCCACGGCCTCTCCTGCCGACGTCTTCCGTTTCCGAGAGGTGACTCACGTCTCACCTGCTGCCTTGACTGCTTCCTCCAGGTCCCACCGCAAGCACAAATGATGTATCAACTCCTTGACATCGACGACGCTCAGATCCAGCGGTTCTTGCAGGTCCTGCCCTCCTATAGCTGCAGCCGCCGACGCTGATGCTCCCGCTGCTGAGCAGGAAGAGCCAACACAAGACATCTGCGACGAGAGGACGGGATGGTTTCATCGCTCCACCTTTGACTCTGTCCCCACTGCTTCCTCCTCTGTCTCTGCTGACGTCCTTTCCAGCTGGCGGAGCTTTTCCACAAGAGATTCCGCGTTCTGGTTGGCTCCAGTCAGCTCCCCCTTGAAGGGAAGAAAGCTCTCCCTCCTCCCTCGGAGGACACTCCTACTGCCTCGCAGGCATCGGAGCCGGAAGGTCAACTATCCCCACAGTCTCCTCATCCTCACCTGGCTCCAACAGCTCAAATAGCTGCTTCGTTCGTCCGCCAGCTGCCGCTCCCAGCCGAGAGCTCGTCTGCTTCAGGGCCTGCCGAACTGATCCGCTCTAGTTTGACGGAGGCTGCTCGGGTGAGAACGAGCGAGTCATGAGGGCGGGGAGGATGAGCTGAGTTTGGCGACAGGCAACGGAGAGGATAGAAGGAGACGAGCAGGTGAGACTACGGGGAGAGGAGGAGGAGAGTCAACGGTGTGCAGGAGATGTACGCGATCCTCGGGGAAGACTCAGAGGTAAGCGGCTTGCCAGTGAGCGAGGCTTACCACAGAGACGGCAGGATGGCGATAGCGAGGAGGGTTCCGAGGGATCCTCAGGAAGTGAAGAGGATGGGTCGAGCTCGGACGAGGTGAGCTGCTCAGAGGCATGGAGAAGGAGTAAACGAGCGCAGGGAGCGTAAAGGAAGTTCATCGTGTTTAATGTTCAAGACGAGTTGAGGGAGAGGAGAGAGGGAGAGAGTGAGTGAGTTCACTCCTTCCTCAGCTTGTGTAGTAAGGAGCCTCAGCCTTGAGAGCAACAGTGCGAGCCTGAGCTAGGGCTCTCTCCATCTTGCTCTGCTTCAGGAGCTGCTTTGCTTCCTTCATCTCGCGGTCGAACTTGCTCATGGGCTTGCTAGCTACTTTCTTCGCCTGATGTTCTTTCTTCAACTCTGCCTGCTTCTTCGCAGCCAGCGCCTTCACCATCTTCTTCTTGTCTCCTTTCTCGTTGATGTAAATGTTCACTGTTGTCTTCTGATGACTCTTCTTCACATGCTCCGCCTCCTTCTGGTGTGACTTGGTCAGCCCCAGAGTATCAAAGAAGCTGTTGAGATCGCTTCTGGCAGCCCTCGCAGACATGCCTTTCTTCTTGAGCGACTTGGCCGAGCTGTGGTAAACACGATCATGCTTGATCCGCTTGTCAAAGAACTTATCAGCCTCCGTCCTCGCATCTGCGGTGTTGAGGGCGTGTTGATCCCCAAGGTAGTCACTCTTCCTCTCCTCGAGCTCCACGACTTGGCTTTCCCTCCTAGTCGCTATCACAACGCAAGCTACGAATAAGATGCACACGGCGGCAGAAGCGACGCGTAGTATGGACATCTGACTCTTGATGGCAAGACCAAAAGACCAAAAAGACGTCCTGTCACCAAAATGAGCGCCACACCGCAGAACGATGGGGAAGATCAACAATATTGTTAGTTCTAACAACTAATTCGTCCTTGTAGTGATTCCTAGTAGCAACACATGTTCAAGACCATCTTTCAGAACCATTCTGCAGTAATCCTCAAAGTTCAAGTATAACCTCAGAGTCTTATCTCATCGAATCGTATCGCATCTTATCGCATCGCACCTCACCTCAACTCACCTCACCTCACCTCGTCTCAACTTCCCCACTCTACTCTACTCTACTCTACTCCCCTTTACTCAACTCAACTCATCTCATCTCATCTCATCTCATCTCATCTCATCTCATCTCATCTCGTCTCATCTCATCTCATCTCATCTCACCTCACCTCACCTCACCTTATCGCATCGCATCTACTCTCATCTACTCTCACCTCATCTCACCTCATCTCACCTTACCTTACCTTACCTCATCTCATCTGATTTTCTCTCATCGCATCTCATCTACTCTCATCGCATCTACTCTCATCTCATCTCATTTACTCATCTACTCATCTACTATCACCTCATCTCATCTCATCTCATCTCATCTCATCTCACCTCATCTCATCTCATTTTCTCGCATCGCATCGCATTACATCACATCACATCACATCTCATCTCATCTCATCTACTCCCATCTACTCTCATCTCATCTCATCTCATCTCATCTCATCTCATCTCATCTCATCTACTCTACTCTACTCTACTCTACTCTCATCTACTCTCATCTACTCTCATCTCACCTTACCTCATCTCATCTCCCCTCATCTCATCTCATCTTCTGTCTCCTCCCATTCTCTCGCCACTTTTCCTCAGCTGTCATACATACCTGTGCGACACTTCGCTACTCGTCAGGACCCCTTCCGTATGACCCCTTGATGCCATATACCCCTACCCCTGTGGTTCGCCCCTGAGCTTCTCAAGTACCCGGTAGTTTGACTATCTATCCAAGCCAGACTATCTGTCCAAAAGTACCCCCACCCTTACACAGACGTTTCTTCAGAACCACCCCCTTATCATCCCTCACCCCGACTCGCTGCAATGGCGTTATACCCGTTACATCAGTGGTCTATTTCCGTTTCCATCGTTCCTTCTGCTTGTATCCGTTACATTTTTATCCTGTTGTTGCGCCCGTTGTCGTTACCAGGATAAGGCAATCGAGGTCGATGGAAGAGGATCGTTCACCGTGTCTGCGAAGGAGAGACATTTCTTAAGTATGACATTAATGTAAAAACACAAGGCTGGAAGTATCGCCTTGAGGAGAAGGGACCCTTCGGCTTGACCTGAGTCAAACTCCTTCGTTTGTCAGCCGCTCGGCCGTGTATCAAGACAATGGCAGTATGATCCGCGAGGCAGGCCGCGGGGGCACGTACGATGGAGATAGGAAGGAGCTTGAGGTTGAAGAGAGCTTTGTCGTACTCTAGGGCTTCGAAGAGGTAGAGGATGTCACAGCGTGGTTCCAGCTCAGTGAGTTGCGTCAGTAACCTTCCCTTGAAAGGGAGAGGAACTGTCGGAACTGTGATCCTTGGAATCTTCCGGGAGCCCTCGTAATATGAGGGCGATAAGTGCCCCAGTGAGAAGATCAGTTGTTCGGAGGATACAGCGATGATTGATGACTGTCGTGACGCAGCTTGCTAGCAATTTTCAAACAATACGCAGCAGTGAGTGTTTGAAAGGTCAGGATAGGCTGAAAGTGATAGGAAACCAGTGGAGATGAAGCTTGCCCGAAGAAAATGAGGGATGTTCTACATACTGCATGCATGTTGGTATCTTGTACTGACAACATTGTGATGTGCCAGAGCTCGTTCAACTCACAATCGCCACTTTGTCATGCTCAAGTCTACGACGGGTCTCCTCATCTCCTTCACCCTGTGCTTCCTTTCCTCGCATCCCCGAGCCTCTTCTTCGCTGCTACTTGAAACAGAATGCCCGTCTGGAACCTTCCGCAACAAGTCCTCAGGCTGCAACGACACTAACCCGACGGAGGGCCTCTACGGTGTTCAATGCTCGCACGTCGCCATCTGCGGGTGCGGTTGCTGGGGCCCGGACTACGAGGCACAACGTAATCTCTATTGCTGCGCATGCGGAGGGGGAGTGAGCTGGAACTACGACGTCTGCCAGCCTTGCGCTCCATGTAGCAAGGGACAGTACAGGGAAGGTTGTGGAGGGATGTTAGAGGGCAACTGTACCGCGTGCCCTTCCTGCCCTGCTGGGAAATACAATGATGGCTGTGTGGGGAATTCCTCTGGCTCCTGCACGGACTGTGACCTATGCTCTGAGGGCTTCTTCAACAAGGGTTGCCTCGGTCTGAACAACGGGTCCTGTACCGCCTGTGAGGCCTGCCCTCATGGACAGTACAGGGTGAACTGCTCCGGGCTGGAGCAGGGAGTCTGTGTTGACTGCCCCACATGCGGGAGCTACGAGTACCGAGATGGATGCAACGGCACGAGCGCTGGGAGCTGCATCGCGTGCGCTGCCTGCGATGTGGGCTTCTATAGGAAGGTGCAAATACCCTGAGCTACTGTGCATCTGCTGATATCATCGCAGACGTGTGAACGCGACAGCGTTTGTGTCGCATGCGACTCCTGTCCCGTCGGACAGTATCGCAGCGGATGCTCGCAGCTCAACTCAGGAGTATGCGTGAACTGTACTTCATGCCCAGTCGGGACTTTCTGCAACGTCAGAGGACAGTGCCAGCAGTGCCCTCCTTGTCCCGCGGGTTCTTTCTGCGATGAATCCGGCAGCTGTGCTGCATGCCCAGCTGGAAGTTTTGCCAGCGCGCCCAATTCTACTTCGTGCTCTCCATGTTCAGCCTGTGACTTGAACCAGTACGAAGAGTCTGCGTGCAACGCAACACATGATGCTGTGTGCCGTCAATGTGCAGCAGGGCAATACTTCCAGAAGGAGGCTGCCTGTACAGACACGAAATACGTCAACAATGAGTGCGCTGACTTCCAACATTATGGTTCACTCTGTCGAGCATCAGGAAGGGTTAATTGCAAGCAGAACTACTGCGATATCCCTGAGGTGGCCGCCAACTGCTGCTTTTGTGGTGCTGGGGTGCGAGTTCAACGAGGATGTCATACGTGTCCGGACGGATCCTTCCGTCTGAACAGCATGGGCGCGTACAGCTGCAGTGAATGCTCGGCATGTCCAGCTGGCATGATCGAGTCCTCCCCATGCACCAACATCACGAACCGCACTTGCATTAACGGTGGCAGCAGCAACGCGACCAGGTGAGCTTCAAACACTGTCGTCGTCTTGTACAGTAGTTAGCTTTCTATCTTCGAGCACAACAGAAATAATGCCAGAGGCTACAGCGCAATCGTCTCGCAAGAGTTGAACTTCTTTCGATTGATACTGTCTTTGATTGTATACATATGAGAAGGGAGAAACAGTCACCTGATCTGATGGTAATGTGCTTTCATTAAATTTACATGATTGATTCCATTAAGATTATTCATTAACTCTTGAGATCCCCCCTCCCCTCTTGTCCTGTATTCACGAAATCCGTGTTCTGTATTTACCTTACAATTCTTGATCTTCTTCAAAATTCGAGAAGGCGCTTTACACGCATCCGAAATTGTACTGGCGATTCATCTCTTTCTCTCCGGAAGCATTTGCAAGAAGCAGTTTGCACCACTTGAACCTTCCCTTGATGCAGACCAAGTTTGCAGAATTTCACAGGTGCATGGTCTGAACTTCTCCTTACAGAATGATCCGGCGTTGAGTTCTTCTTGACACTGGAGCTTCGCGCAAATTTGCCATAATCCAAGTCGGAGTCGTCTTGCAGACGAAGGTCGTTAATTTCGATCTCACTCCATATCTTCTGAGGCGTCCTCTGCGATATCTGGAGTATCAACGGCGTGGACGCTCTTGAAAGTTCGTCTTCGCCTCTGTCGGACTCGTGACCAGAGGACCACTGCTCTTCCCCTCGGGTATCATTGTATGGTCTGTCGTCTCTAGGGCAGCGGCCACCTTTCCTCTTGAACTGTCCAGAGTCTGCGGAAGCATGCAAGTCGCCTTCATATCTACTTCGTAGGTCAACCACAGAGACAGCTCCGTTGACATCGCTGGCCCACATGCTCCAGCATGTCTGAGGCTGCGCATCATCTTCAACATCACCCTTGAGGTCATCCGATCTGATGAGGTCTTCTTTGATTTGTCCGCTATTGCTCCAGATGCTTGCAGGAGGAAGCAACTTGACTAGAGTAGCTCGTCGATGACCTGCCGTGCTCATGCTGCACAAGAACCGTCAGGGCGACGAGCAAGCGATGCAAGAGAGGGTTCACATACCTTTCCAGGCTGTCTAGAGGAAAGCAGAGTTCCACGGTCGGAACGTCTTCGAATTGGAGGAGAGAAGCTTGTGATCCGATGCGAGATTCTCGTCGGGGGGAAGGAAGTCTGGGTGACAAGCATGATCCTAACATGTGGCTGATCTTTGCAAATTTCATCGTGCCTTGCTTGTAGAGATACTATGAGTTCGCCTTTCTGCAACTTGCGATGTAGATAGAGGGTTTCAGCAAGTTCGGTGTGCTTTGGGGATGAGATCCTTTCAGGCCAGGATTGTCACCGTGTTTGAGAACGGCTACTTGTCTAAAAGCTCAATTTCACAACTTGAGCAAGTTGATGGATGCGACTAAGACTCGAGATATATAATCAATCACACTCGCCGAACTTCAAGAATTTGGCGGAATTCGTGACGATGACGAAAAACTGCGTTTGGGCAAGAGATAGGGCAAAGCAGGTATCGTCCCAGCGCTTACGATGTTAGCCCCAACGTCAAAGAACTTGTACAGATAGCTGGTCGCAAGAGGAAAGCGGCAAAGGTAGTTTGGATGAGGTTTGGCAGTTGGAAAGCAGAAATGAAGGATTTAGCAATACGAGCGTGAAGAAAATCCACTGACTCGCAGATGGGAGGATCCGCGGGAGGGCACACCTCTGACTATGACCGCACGGTGGGGCTTGGCAAGGAGAGGAGGGAAAGAGAAGGGAAGGGGGAGAGGGAGCGCGGGTAAGAGGACAAGAGAAGGAGGAGGGAGGGTAGCGAAAAACAAGCTCAAGAAAAGTGGCAGAAGCAATAATAGGACCGGGAGGGGCCATGACCCCACCCCACCCCTATCTGCTACCTAACGGAATGCCTACCCCAACGTAGCTAAAGGATATTCTCGAAAAGCAGGGGTGGCTTGTGAGATATACCCATGTGGTGACCATAGGAAGCGGGGGTGAACATGGGGTAACGGGTGGGTGGTGGTGATACGATTCGGACTCCTCCGTGCTCCGATGGTCTGTCTGGGGTTGGGTCAGTAGGATTTATCCTCGACATATGGGGTGGGTGGGGTGTAATAATACTTTCTAAAAACTAACTGGGTGAAGGTGGTATAACTCCGGAAAGAAGTGGTAGGCAAATTAAAGGACTTAAGGGGGTGGGGGTGGGGCCCCAGAACGCGGTCACTACTAGGCTTCTCAGGCAGTGAGGAGACGGTGGGGGGCGGCCGCATCACTCTGGTACAAACATTTCACTCATCTCTTTGACCCTCATTGCTAGAGTCGGCCATTGACGATGATCTGAGCCACCCCCACACTTCTGTGGCCCTGAGACCCGCCCACCCCCGGGCCACCCCATGCGGCTGACGGTCGCCGTTAGCTGTCTATCCGGGTTAGCCGCCCCCCGCCGCGGTAGTCACCGTGCCACGGTGTTGACGCGCGGCGGCTGATGAGACGCCCCCCCCCCCCCGGCCCCCCCCGCCCCGCCCGTCCGGTCCGGCCGGCCCCCGGCCCGGCCC